ACAGCCACTTAACGCACTGTGACGTGCGTGGTTTTCCTCAGTACCTATGTAGAACCAGCAATACGGCGTAAAGCTTAAAGCTCTTGGCGTGAGAATTAGTTTTGAACGCAATTAGTTCGTCACTTCACGCTGTTTGTGTATAGAAGCTTTGAAATCCGAACTTCCGGTTGCGTGTAGTCCGTCAGGGTGACCAAGGAAGACTGAACGTGTAGCACGCGCGAGGAACCGGGTTAGAAACGCAAAGTTTACTCCTCTCCAGATGATATTAGGATATGGGAGGAGTATGTTGATCGGCCAGAGTGACAGGTGTCAGAAAGATACAGCACGGTCCTGTTTGTTGCAGAGTGAACTTCGAAACCTACGCGTTTTCGACGCAGATGAAGATCCCGCGGCTCAGGATAGACGCCGTCTACACCCTCAAGGGCAGGATCCTAGTTCTGCCGATCGTAGGCCACGGCGACGCGTGGCTGGAACCCGGTGAGTGTTCCACGCTGTGCATTTCTTCCCAGACTAACATCCGAGCGTGGATTTGTTTGTCATCAGTGGGCAAAGGCATTGGATTAATGGATTTATATTTGTTTACGGGTGGATGGCTGATGCTTGGGTTATTTTTGACGGATTCACTGCCCGATGGATGCGTGGATTGACGGATGAACTTAGTTATGAATGGACAGGCCATGTACCAGTAGGTAAGCAAGTGAGTGCCGAGGGAGTTCCATGAGTGTGCGCTTGTTGCAGAGGACCTGGACATCATGTCGGAGGTCGACCTGACCCTTAGGAGCGAGGACGGCATCACGTTCTTCAAGGTGCAGGACGTGCAAGTGAACTTCACGATCGGGAAACTCCGACTGAGGCTCAAGAATTTGTACAATGGGTTGAAGGCACTGGGTAGGTTCTTAAGTACCCGGAGGGCAGTGGCGGCTCGTGCCGTGTGCACGGGCGATAGGCCTGCCAGAAATTGGAATATTGCGTCATAGGCGTCGTAAAACTGGTTGGCGTTCTCGAGGTGTTAGGGCGTTTGGACGCGCGATAAACGGAACTTGCACCGGTTACCGGAAGTACCAAGTTTCGAAGAGGTCAGGGTGGACAGGACGTGTAGAACGTGTTAAAGGTGGGATACGTCGGAATCTTTTTGGTGAAAACCTGAAGGAAAGAGATAATTTGAAAGACCCAGGTGGAGATGGGAGGATAATATTAAAATAAAACGTAACGAAATACGAGAAGGCGGTGTGGACTGATTCCACTGTTTCAGGCTAGGGACTGGTGGTAGGCTGTTGTGCATGTTGTGGTCTCAAACAAGACGGCAAATTTCGTGACTCGTTGAGCCAATAGCAGCTTCTTAATAGGATTAAGGTTCCCCGAAGCCCGTAGACTGGCTGCTGTATGCTACGTCTTCTTTGCAGAGGACAGCACCAATGAGTACATCAACAGCAACTGGCGGTCCATCGCGGGCTCCCTGAAGCCCATCCTCTCGAGAACCATAGCCGATCTCGTGGGTGACGTCCTGACGAAGCTGTTTGACGGTGTGCCCGCCAAGTACTTCATCGGCGACCTGAGCTAGTGACCGCAGGGCCCAGTTTCGCTTGAGTCTGAACGAGAACAATGTTTTTCTTTTTGGTAATTTAATCTCTGAGTCTGAACACCGCACGATTTGACTTGTCTCTTCGAATTACGACTCGCCGTTCGCACGTGGTTTTGTGTGGTTACTTCAGAATTTGTTCTGTACCTTCAAGTGTATCAGTGATTAAGCTTTTAGATTTTTTGTCTTCCGGGTTATGACATCTTGTAGTTGGTCACTAGCGTTTTAGAGGAACATGTTGCCTGTGTGTTCAGGGTAGAAATGTGGAGGACTTGGAAGTAAAACTATGTCGTAGTTGGGGATAATCGAACTGAAGAGGGCCGTGTGACTGCAGGGCGAAGCAGCAGAGTTTTCTTGGGCGATGAGAATGGGTGACAGGAACGCAGGAAAGCCTCAAGAAACAGCCCATCATCTTGATACCTTGATGATGGAGGCGGTAAGAACCCCTGCGAACGTCTTCTAAGTTTTTTCCAGAAGAGAGACATCTCCGTCTCACTCCCTTTTAAGTCCAAATATCCCCGTCAACACTCTGTTCTCAAAGACCTTCAAACTGACAGACCAGGTTTCGCACCCATACAGCACAAATTGCAAAATTACATTTTTTTTAACAAATTTAATTTTCTTATTAGACGGGAGGACAGAAGATTTTGGACTGAATGATTACCGGGATCCATGAAAGGTGGGGGATTCGGTGGGCGACTGTCAGCTGCTCAAGACAGCCAAAACCAAGGAGGGGAGGGTGACTCAGCCATTAAAGAATTCAGAAACACTGGTCGACTTTAATTTCAGTTCTTGAGGTAAGACAGAGGAATTTGTACTGAGTTGGGCCTCTCCGTGGTGATCGTGCGAGAAAGCGACGTATTGAAGGCGAGAGAGAGAGAGAGATTGCTGTGGCTACGGCGGGAGGATCTGGTCCAGCGGGAACTTGTGGTAAATGCTGTTGGAGAACTGCCGGAAGACATCGCCGATCTTGGCCTCGAGCAGCGGCTGCAGTTCCGTCGCCACGTTCTTCCAGTTCTCGTTCAGGAAAAGGTTCATCGCCTCGCCTGCGGGCGGGACAGTGAACAGTCTCATTTGTCACTACACCTAAGGCTTTAAACTGCAGTGGTAACTATGTGTACCATCTGCTGAAACAGTCAGTAAATCTGCTTTACGTATTTGTGTGTTTCATTTGCTTTTCCGATTATTTCCTCTGACAGCACTAGCGAGTTTATCTTTGTGATGGTGTGTTTTCTTCGCGGTACGGACTTAATTATTGAATATTATTAAGACGAGCTTCAGCTCCAAAGGGTTGGCTAAGTCTGTTTCTGAGTCCTTTGGATAAGATACGTAGTATTCAAGATGGCGATAGTCCGTGAGCGACGTCTTTTGACGTCATTTCAGGGATGCCCGACCATAGCCCCTAAGGCCTTGGGGCCGTGTCTTATCGTCCATACTTACCCAACTCTCTGTCTCCGTTGAACAAGTCCCCTAGAAACACCTTCGCGCCACCAATGGAGAATTTTACGTCGAAATTCTTGACGCTAAAATGCGTCTGCCCCCGAATGCTGACATGTTCTCCGTGCAGAGTGCACACCGCCTGTATGTCAGCTGCAAAGAGACATGAAGATTCATCACCCTCCTCATTGTACCATTCCCTGAGCCACATAGATCTAGTCTGCACGCCGTTTTAATATTATCCTCCCACCTGGTCACATATTTACGTTTTCTGATGAGAATTTTGTATTTCTCGTCGCCCCGATGTGTCCTGTATATCCGACCTGCCTATTGAATCTAATACGAGTAACATTATCTACCGTCTGCTCTCAGCAATTGTTCATTGCAGCAACAACAAAATTAATAATAATAGCGAGTGACTCGGGGTAAAGACGGCAGGAACGTGAAACTGGGACTGCACTCACTGTAATTTCCCTCGTAGTAGCCGCTCCCGGTGATGGGCAACACGAGCAGACGCCCGTCCATCTTGTAGTGACTCGTCATGCGTAGGTACGGCAACCACAGTTTGAGAAACACGCGTCGCCTGTCCAGGTCAATCCTGCCAACAAAAAGACGGTGGACACATGCACGAGGCAGAATGCTCCGAAACGTCGGTGTATACCCAGAGATACAACCCAGAAGACGAGCAGCTGGGTTATGACAGCGAATATTCTTATAGTCGTCGATTATACTCTGAAGATGGATGCGGCACGCTCCTCCGAAACTTTGGTAACCGCTTACAAGGCTACACTGAGTCACAACCGAGCAGAGCGCAATCTGAACTCTCACCTCAAATCCCATACAAGAAGATACGTTGTTTCAATGATTCCTCGTGTATTTAACGCCGTTAATTCAACTGATTAGATTATCTGTCGTCGAGTGTAACCCGTATAAACACCAAATTGGAAGGAATCTGTATCTACAGTTACTGTCCTAACATTTGCGTTGAGGGACTGAGGAAACCCACGAAAAACACTGGTCACGACAACCTTCTTAGGACTGAGACTGCTTTACGGGACCTTGTTGTCAGAAGTCGCGATTTCCCGACGCAAGGTTTTTCTTAAGATACAATTTACGTAAGGAAATCCGAGGATTAAATTGAAACTCTCGCTGGCCCTGGGCAACAGCAAACTATAAAAACCGACACGGCAGGTCCCAGAGGCGTTTGAGGCCGACGACATTTGTGTCAGAAACGTCGGAATTGAGCCAGGCGCTTTGACTGTTGTCTGCACTAACCTGACGGTTTCCAGTCTGAAGTTCGTGGGGCCGTGCACCTTGATGTCCGTGTAGGTGGAAGTGAGTCTGGCCACCCCCTGACCTTGGTCCAACACCATCTCCTTGATCTCCAGAGGCTCGCAAGATGGAATCCCGAACTCCGGGATTCCTGCAAAACAGGCCTACGTCACTCCCACAATTGTGCCACAGGAGCCTTCTCCCGGAAAACTGAAGAACCTTGTGAGGTTAATCCTCACATAACATCGTAAGTTAATGGCGAGAATCGAATGTTTTAATGTAACTTACGTATTTTTCGCGGTGATTTTTAATACTTCCAATGCACTGTATCTTTCTAGGTTTAAAGCGTCCGGGGCCTCGAGCTAACCATTGAGGTGATGTGGGCTATGCGTGTTGGTTTACTCTCGTACTCCTAAGAATTATTATTTGAGGGGGTTAGACGTAGGGATTAGCGGCTGTGCAACGTACCTTTCACGAGATGTGGCCTCAGTTCCTCCACGGCGGCCATTACACATTCGTCGAGCTTCGGGTCTGATCGGCGACACACCTTGAGGAACGGAGCTGCAACACGCATGCGTAGAGTGAGGTAAATGTTGTCGAAGTTGACGTTAATGTTGGTACCGAATGTCTCTGTTAAAACATTTCTTTTAATTTCTGTCTTGATTTTCAGAATGAAGACGAGTCAGTGTATGCGTAAATAGATAATGACGTCATATAACAGTAATAATCATCTCTGTCTGGTGTCGAAGTTAAGAATGCGTGGAGCTTTGCCTCCTCTAGACTGGGGCCTGCCTCGTCCATCCAGTGGTGAGCTACTAGCCTAGTATTAAAATATCCTGGGTTCGACCCAAACCTGTGTCATTAATATTAAAATAAAACAATATAAATTCTGTCGGTGTGACGATAATCGACTAGAGAATGGTGTACAGCAGGCTCCCGAAACGTCCGACAAAGTACTCACGTATGTTGTCGCCCGAGGTCGCCGCAAAGTATCCCAGCAGCAACATGGCGCCTGTTAACCCCAGCGACTTCATGACTAATAAATAAGTCTGCCCGCCGCCCAGTGGCTTCACAGCGCCATCACCTGTCGTATATATATGGCACCCTCAGCGTCGTACAGCTAGAGCGGCGTAAGTACAGTCAGGAGTGCGCACGTTCTCATGGTGATACCTGCTCAGTAGTTGGAGGTATTTCCACAATTACCACTAAGATCCGCCAGCTCGATCCACTTCGATTTGCCTTGCGTTTTGTGGTCTCTTTGTATGAGCGTTTTTACTAATATTTCGTATGATTTATCCATATAAAACATGCATTTGGCCACGTAATAAATTTGCATGATTCTCCGAGAATTTGGACGTACTAAATATGCCGTCCGTAAGTGATTCTAAACATAAATTCTTATTTAAACATTCTTCTCGGGCATTTAACCTTAGGAGGAAGAAATTACCCGGTTACTATATGATTTCAAGAAAAGGAATATGTAAAATACTGACGAGTAACTTTGAAATTGGGTACTGCAGACGGTGGAGAATTACGTTCTTGTGGTTTCATAAGCTCTCGGGGAAACAGGGATTTGTAACAAAAATAAGGATTTGTCGCCTGCGGGCGTGCTGATTGTAAGTGTATATGGAGATATGTGGATAAATTAATAAATATGTAAATAAGGATATAAATAACTTAATAAGCAATACAAAAATTAAAAAATTTCAGGAAGAGCATTCGTGAGTGTTATAGTACTCAAGAGATTGCTTACACCGACGTTTCATAAACTAGAAGAGTCAGCTGATTGCATACAGGTGATTGCACATTTCCGCATTGTGAAGTATGGGGGTGATGATCCGTGTCATCACTGCCAGGTATTCCAGCCAGTTGTGGGCGAACAAAATAAGACTATTATCGGGAGACAGGCTGAGTTAGTTTGAAATGTTTCCATGTTGTCCATAACAAATGTTGAATTCGCTGGCTAGATGCAGAATATTAAACTTATTAAATAATTCCCTACAAGAGATTTCCCCTAGAAATGCTTATGTTGGTACTGCGTTTGTGATGCTCAACTGTTTACTAGTTATTTTCATCCATTATCGAAAATGCCGCGAATGAGTAAGGTTAATACGAAACGTAAGTCTGAATGAATTAATATACACCTGCCAAAAGAAAGTGCCTTGAAATTAAAGACTGTGAATTGCACATGAAATTTTGACAAAACGAATTTCATGAAATTTTATAGGGAATTGTTTAAAAATGTAATATTCTACTAGCCTGAAAATTTTTGGTCTCGTTATCATAATTTGTAGTGGACAACTCTGAATAATTTAAAACTAACTCATGTATTGACAGTATAGGTACAAGGTGTAGATATAACTTTCATGTGCCAAAACCTAACCTCATTTAGTATCAAAAAGGAGTTTACTATGCCGGAAATAAGCTATTCAGGAATCTTACCCTCCTTCTATAGAGTGTCTGAATCAAGAACTACAAGCCATAACTAAACGAGTGTCTGCTTCTCACTCCTACTCCTTAGAAGAATTTACCTCAACCATAAATTCAAGTATTTCATTTGTGGCATGACATGTTCTGCAGCATCCTTGGCTCAAGCCAATGAAAGCTCTGTGGAATATAAGTAAAGTCTGTTCTGTTCACTGTAAGGGCAAAGTAGTGAAAGTGCTGCTCATTTCTGAGGTTAAGGAAGCAATTGTTGTAAATGATAACCTAGCTCTTGTCTGTGGAAAATGTTATGGAACTTTTCTGAAGAATACTCCCACTGAAATCACTTCTGTTACCTGAATTTAAGTCTTCTTTACTTTACAAGTTAGTGGTGCCAAATCTGTCACATTCATCTGTGTTGGCAGTAAACGCTAAAAGATATGTTCTCCGTATGACACGGCAAGTGCCGTCGATAGCCATCCCAGAGTCCCCGATACTTCCGTTGCAAAGTTACAATGTGTACAGCATGTGCAGGAAATAATGATAAACCCAAACTATGACACTTTTTTGTTGAGAAAAATTGACTGGTATTTATGTGGAGTTAGAAAGCTTGGAACTGACCACGTGAAATGTTATTACGGCTTGGCAGTTTACGATAACATGGAAGAAGCAACATGAGCAATTATTTTCTTAAATATTTTACAGGTGACAGGCCCCTTCATGGTTCTGCTCTTCTGGTACAGCATCTGGTGCCAAGTGATGTCATCAACACCAGTTAAGGTTTGAGTGACCTTGAACTGCTGACAAAATGTCTTCTTGGCAAGAATGTTTTGAGTATTTGAGTTCTGCGGTCTGTTCGAGGCTGGCAAAGGCTGTGTAAATTTTGGTGCTGTGAAATGTATAGTCTGTTGTGCTGCTACAGTGAAAATAAACGTTCTGAAGGGTCTTGATAGTGAACTGAGTGAAATCTTTACATGTGACACGTATTGACTGAAATTTCAAGACTAGAAAATCCAGAAGACATATCGAGAGGCAGAAGTTGGAATGTTTTAAATGTAAGTAGTATTCTATCATGAAACACTGGTATAAATTTAAGTACTTTGGTTTCCAAAATGTCTTTTCTCAGTGCCTAGAATATCTGAATCGTCATAGGCGAGACTACGTGGCGCAGTATCCGAAAAGACTTTTAACTCTGCATTTCAGATTTTCTCTTTAGCATCCTGTTTCCAAAACCCTCTTTTCTTTACATGAGACTGCCACCTGGCTGTCGTACTTAGCAATCTAAGAATTAAAGTTTAAAATATAACAGTTTTCTCTTTAAGCCAAATAGCTGAAGTTGTGCATGCGCCTCAGTTACTAACTTGCCTCTGTGTCCCCGGTGTCACTGGTGTGGCCAAAACCCTTCGGTGGACGTGATCCCTTAGCCAGTTCTATCCAAGTGTCTTTCTGTAAGATAACTGACATTCCATAAGATTCTGTGTGTATTTATTGTCTCCTTTTTGTTTTACGCCCCGAATGCTTGCTTATTTAAACCATCTTGGAGACCGTGTTTCATGCTTATGCGAAGAAACTAGCAAAATGATTGTTTTCAGGATTTTCTGTGGTTGGAAAGTAGATGGAATGATATTTTTCAAGCTGAGGAATGGAAATCATTTCCAGAATTTATTCTTCTCTGCTGATTTCATCGTAAACCTCATTTCTTCTTCCCATTAACATACTTTTAATGTTGAAACATTTTCATTGCTGTTGTATTATTATTTTTATGTTGACTTCGGTTTCATGCCTCGGCTTTGTCGGAATTTACTCGTAGACTGGTCTATTTTCTTGCCTGTAGAATTCCTTGTGGTGATTGCATTCTCCACTAACAAATGCATATTATCAGAGTAAGTACATGACACCCCCCCCCCCCCAAAAAAAAAAAAAAAAACTCTTCGACTTCCTTCATTTCTTGTCTCAGAGAAATGTTAAACGTTGGTTACGTGATGAACTCGATTTCACGTTTGCTCAGCTTCAAGGTGTGGGAGATGTGTGTCGTTTAGTCTTCCGGGGTCTTCTTGTAGCTTCCTGTAGCGCGTCATGTCAGTGTCCAGCGTTGCAGACATTGGCAAGTATCTCAGCAAATTCTTAACCTCACTATCAGGCGCAAGTGAAGATATCTTCACATATCCCTAGGGACTCGGCGCAGAGCGGAGAGGACACAGGGTTACCAATACAAGAAAATGTGGCCACAAACACACAGTTCAGGAGGGATTTAAACTCAGCATCCCATCGCCTGAGCTGTCCAAGACACGATTAACGTCTGGAATTAGTTTTGTTATTTTACGGCTTAAGGGAAGCCCTGGCCTGAGTTAAACGAATGATTTTTACTGACTGTTTAACTACGTCTTGACTTTAGATGTGCTGCGAATATTGTGGGTGTTCAGCATGCGCAGAGGCAAATGAAAGTTGAACGGCAGGGAAATGATTATTCATATAATAATTTTATTACTAAACAGTAAGGAAATCATAATCAGATTATTTTAACAAGTGGAATTCCTCCAAATTAACACTGAAGGACAATGTAAAGCAGTTCTTCGTGCATAATGTTCTTATGTCGTGAGACAGTGATGCGAGGAAACAGTAGAAATGTAGAAGTGTGCAGCATTTAAGTGATGGGGAAATTAATTATTTCACTATGATCCCTAGGGGCAGGAATGTATGCAGACTTGTAAGTGGTCAGGATTATTTCAGTCGCATCACAAGCGTTTTCTCATTTTCTTTGACAAATGAACAATACGTGATCTTTTTACAGTGACCTGTGTCTTGAATCACGTTAAAGTCTTTTCAGAATTAAAAATCGCAACACAAATAGAATTAATCAAAATTGGGTCTGTTATACTTAACTCCATGAAGCGCAGTTAGAACCCGGAAATTTCTTTTTGAAGGAGGTCCTGGCATCACCGAGTGTTACTTGCACCAGTTACTGATAATAGCTCAGGCCGGGAGCAACTCTTTGAGAGGTATGGTACTCAAGATTTTGTTGCTGATCTGAGTCACGATTTCTTCAGCTGTCTCCTGAACGATAGGCATCAGTATATTCAAGACCTGCTTCTCGTTCTGCTTATAGAACCGCGTAAAGGACTCCACTGAAACACAAAATGGCCGGTTTAGGACGCGCTTTGGTGTCTCATGTGGGAAAAATGTACTCACGCCTCACATCAAGGTGTAATATAGATGGTCTCAAGGATAATTTTAGACAGAGGAATTAATAGAAGGAAATTACAAATTATGGATCATTCTTATGTACTTTATTCTTGTCACCAAGGTGGATGGGGCATGCGTGCACTGACGAGATGAGAAATGCATGCAAAATTTTAGTTGAAAAACCTAAAGGTACCAGACCATTTGGGATTCCTGAACATAAATGGTCTATAATATTAAGAATAATATTATTAAAATGGAGTTTGAGGATGTGGACTGGAGTCATCTGGCTCTGGTAGCGTTTGGCAGTGGGCTCTCGTGAACAGGTTAATGGAAATATTATTATTTTTTTTTTTAAGTGTTCTGTCTGAGGACAGGTCCATATGAACAGGATCCTTCCATCCTTTTCTCGGACTGGGACCTGTTCATATACGTTCTTGGCAGATGATCCAGAAGTGGTTTGCCATTGCCTTCTTCTGCGTGTGAATGGAGTAATTGTTGGGATGCCACGGAGGAAAACTCCGTGTTGCCTAGACCAAGGCCTTGCCCAACACAAGTTATAAATGCGGGCACCGCCGGGAATCGAACCCGAAACCCCAGGTTTCATAATGTGAGGGGACTTTGGGATTTTCTTGAACAGCTGAAGTTAAGTCAGATTGAGGCAATAAAAGGCACAGCTAATGGACTGCAAGTAATATCGTTAGCTGATAAAGCGTCGCTAAACAATACGTGTACTCACGCAGCTCATCGTTCTTGTCTTTGTCTTTGTCTTTAGATGCGATCTTAACTTCCGAGCTCCCAATCCCAATCTTTGTCTTGATGTTGTTTACCTCCAGATATTCCTCGCCTTTCCTTGTGACCACTTTCGCGTCACCTGCGACGTCCACCTTCACATCCGCTGCAACAGAAGCACAACGTACTTGTTGATATTTCTTGTTTCAAGTATTGTGGTAGTGCAGGCTGCGCCATCTCTTGATGGAATTGGAAAGCTCATCGTCTATGCTACTAAATCCGCCATTATAACTCATTTGATTGCGATAAATATTCTTGTTACAGTTATTTTCCATTGCGATGACGAGATTATTTTATTTGGTCCATTTGTATCTGTTGCCCTTTGAACAGGCAGACTGCTTTTCATAAAATTCTACATTAATATCACGACGTGAGAGTGCTTCTTAATTCAACTACCGTCCTCCTGGCCTTGAGATAATTTCGTTCGACCTTCAGTCCTATCTTTTTTAATCTGGTTACTATGGAAATTTGTGAAACGTGAATTGTGTCGGGAAGATGTACTCACTGAAATTGCCCGTGAAGGCACCCTTCCCCTTGATATTTCCCAGGATGCGGCCCGTCACGTCGAAATCCGCAGTGGAGTGGATGTGAGGCAGAGTGACGCTCAGCTCGAGCGCCAGCTTGTCGAGGTCCGTCCTGGAACAAAGGAAGTTCTCAGGGCGCTCAGCGATTGTCTCTAGGCTGTGGGCCCCAAAAGGTCTCCATTCCTCGGAGCGTGAAATTAAAAACCTTACCTGATTTTACGTGTTATCCTTTTGTACTATTGTCAAAATGTGACTCTTCTGGGAAGCTGCGCTGTTTAGTCTGGTACAAATTGACCGACGTTTCAGAGGTGCAGTAAGATCCTTAACCCATGAAAGCCCAGTTGTCCCTCGTACTTCAACTGTGGAGTTTCAGTTACCCTGTTCAGAGCAGCCTCCAAGTCCACACGACATATTCACCGCCTTGAGAACCGGGCGTCTCTCATTTTAACGTTTCCGTGCCATCTGTTTCTGGGTCTTCCAAGGCGTTTTCCAACTAAATTTCAAAGAGCATTTCTTGTGACCCTGATCTTTGCCAAGTAATCAGGAACGCTTGCAAGATATAGGCCTACTTGTTTCTAGCGGGTGTTTGTATCGATTGATATACAATCGCTGATCGATTATTGCATCTTACTTGAGTTTGTTGATGACGAAGGCGTTGCCGCCGTAAGCCACGATGTTCTGCAGCAGAGCGTGAACCTTGATGGCCTCCAGGTCCCTTTTGATTTCCAGAGTAGGCAACACGAAGGGGTCTGAGGGTGGCACCTGCAGTTTGGGTATGCCTGCAAAGGAGCACAGCGGCGCCTGGCGTTACTAAAGAAATTGAAACAGTAAAAAAATATTTATACTTATTTTAAAAATTTTAAGTGTACTTAATATTTATGGAAGTACAGAAATAAAACAAAATAAAATATACTCCATACAAAACCAAATGAAAAATTAAAATAACTGAAAATCCGTACAAAATATAAATTATGAATTTTTATTTCATTTAGTATTTTTCTTCAGGAAATATGATTTCAAAAAAACATAAAATGTCCACTGAACGATTACTTAATCTAGTTCTTATTCTAGAAACAAAATTGCCTGAAATAGAAAATACTTTTTCACCGGCTACCGAACTTGGTTTTATCGTTTTCAGGGCATCAAATAATAAATCTAAATTCTTTGTTCTTTTATCGGTTGCCTCAAATACTGAAAATTCGGCCTTCAGTGTCTTCGGATTTGATATTAATTCTTCAGGTTCCTCAAGAAACCTTCTTTTCGAGCTTTGCCCTGATTAATGGTTCCACCGTCTCCGATATATCCATCATCGAAGCTAGAGGAAATTCACTAGATTTCTTTGTCGAAATGTTTTGTGGATTTTGCAAATGTAGCAAAAGGCTTACCAATCCAACTTGGTCTTCTTTCTTGAATTCGTACTTCTAAAGCATTTAATGATTTGGAACTAATTTCAGCCTCACTCATGAAGATTAGTTTTACTACAATATGCTTGTGCCCGAGGCGATTTCAAGTCAAAATGTTAACGTGTGTAATCAATTAATTTTTTACATATCAATTCTAGTATCTGAAACCGGTTTTTTTTAAATTTTAAAAACCGGTTTTCGAATTTTACAAATTTATGCAAAAAAAAAACAATTGTTTTTAAACCCGATTTTTAAAAACCGACTGGCACTGGAAGATATCTGAAACTGCAGTGAAAGCACAGTTTGAAAAACTGACTTAAACTGCAAGAAGGAGAGTATGGAGTGGATTGAACTGGCCCAGTGCCGCATGGACACGTTTTTACGCCATTGGGTTCCATAAGAAGCAGGGAAGTTCTTGACCGGTTGTGCTACTGTCAGCTGTACGTACCTTTGCTCAGTCTTGGCCTCAGCGACTCCACGGAGTCGATGACGCAGGCGTCGAAGTCAGGATCATTTTTCTTGCAGACCTTCACGTAATTTGCTGGAACAGAAAGGACGTCATTTGTGTTTGCTTAGTTTGTTGTTTAAAAGGGCGTTGCTCGGTGTAACGCAGTGACACCTGGTGATGGGTTCAGTTCGAGGAAGAGGCGTCCTGTCCCCTAAATCGTCGTGCCCTTCGCCTTCAGGTAGCAAACGGAGGAGTGGAAGATGGTTTCGATTTGTAGTTGATTGACGCTTTGCGATCTCAATGAAAATATTTCATTTGCTGTGTGGAATTTAAACTTAAACTGTCAAGGGATTTTCGAACTGTTTATTTCACAAAACGAATCGATGTTACAGGAGGTCGATTTATCTCGTCCGTAGCATGCAAATTGTGAAAATGTGTTCTCTGTGGCAATTGATCGAAAAATGTCCGTGTCTTTAAACCTTTAATAGCACCACTTGTTTTAACATCAACCGTGGGTTTTGTTTGATACTCAGAGCAAAGTTTCGTAGAACGTAGGACCCTTTTTCGTAAACTTGACGACAAATCTGACTCAGGGTGAGAATACGGACCTGAGTTCGATTCCTGTCAGGAATAGAATTCTCCCCTCGTCGTCCACTGCGTCCAAGCCTTGCCGCTATCATTTTCCTGGATGTAAATCCGTCGGAGCGTGAATCTGACTGCCTCATTCCGCATTGATAGCACGTGCCAGTCAGGAACGCCGACTGTGAAAGTGGTCGGTCGGTACGGCCTCGATCCCGTTGGTCTGCTCGAAAGGCCATCTGTGAGCCTGCCACTGCGTCGAATCATGAAGCAAGTTACTCCGCAGAGCACTCTGTTCCCTTGAGCTCCATTTTAATATTATTCTCCCATTGATCGTCTTAGATAATTCTGCAGTGTCGTTCCTCAGCCACCGCCTTCAGGTCTGTTCTCCCCCCCCCCCCAAAAAAAAAGTTTTGGGCCGTCGGTGAACTTACCCCCTTTCTGCGAATTCTTTACGATTTGTCTCGTGTCCATTGAGCTCTGTTTGTAATACAAATTCCTTCCTGGTGGCACTGGACTACTTCCTGTTCGATGTTTTGATTCGACTGCGTCCAGCCGCGTTCCTGAAGAATTTCTCTTCTCGCCGCCTGTGATACTAGGACTTAAAAATTGTAATCGACTTCCTGTTTGACTGCCGGAAGTGACCGGTCGCTCGGTTGACTTGGCCGCCTCGCAACGTAGTGGAGCGTAGTTACGTCATTTCATGGGAGAGAGATGCAAAACAGGGGCGTTGAAACGAGAGCGACGGATGGAGGATAATATTAAAATGGGCCCTCACGGCGTTTAACCCACAAGACCACAGTCTTATTAAACTCTCACGGCCGAGACACCTCAACAAAGCCCAAGAGATGAAGTGTCTGAAGAAAAACATTAAATTATCTGCAATAAGTGTAGTAATATTTCGTGCTAGTTAAACGGGTGTGAAAAGATTGTGAAGATCTAAGTATCCGAATAAAAGTGGAACTTTGTAATAAATTTCCCTTAGTGCTTCTGCGTAATCACTATTCAATCGTGATGGCGTACAGGGGGCGTGGAGGTAAGAGATGACGCATTTTTCACCTGCGTTTGAAAGCCATTGTTTATTTATAAATAACTTAAAATGACAGAAATACGTGGAATTAGTTTAAACTTACGGAACTTGCCGCTGAGAATCCCAGGGAGGACCGTCGCCACAACAAGGAGCCCCACTGCTGCCAGTCTGAGCGCCATGCCGAGGACACTTGAAGTCGACGGGGCGGACCGCGGCTTTTATAGCAGTGGACGCGACGTGTCGGCAGTGCCGCTCTCTGCAGTCCCACCGAGGTGTCTGCTTTCTGTTTACATTTGCGTGTTGGTTCATCGGCGCATCGTCAATTTGTTGATTTCTTTGTTCGTTTGTGTTCCTCCATTTCCGCTTTATTCGTTTCACCAGACGCTGCCAGAGAACTGCTTCGTCTTTGGGAGGTCCCGAGGTCAAATGTCGTATTCGAGACCGGCTCACCCAGATAAGGCTATCCTCAGAACTTTCAATAGAAATACCGGTTCCATCCATATCCTCCCCAATTTATTATTTTTCTTACCATCCGACGCACTGTAGTCTGAGTTACCGACAGCGTCGTTAAACAAGCCGGAAATAAAACTATTCTCCTTGTTTCTCTCATTTTGCCTTCCGTCCGTCTTCACACTCAGTTCCTCCTCCGTAATTCGCAATTCATCGTTTAAAATCGGTCTCTTCCTCGGTCTCGTCCTCAGCAGTTGGCATCACAGATTCATTTGTCATTAATTCCCATGTGCACTAAAGCTTGAATATGGCTGTCTTCAGGGCCGCCGTGCCATGTAGCCTGCTACAAGTTTACCGACGTTTCAGACGTCCTTTCTGCCTCCATCATCAGGGCGAAGATGTTCTGAAATGTCGGCGGATTTACACGGCGCTGCAACCCAGAAAACCTCCATCTCCGTGAGAACTTGAAATCGCACTTAGCGCAGTCGTAATTTCTGGGGTGAGTGAACCCTTCTTTAGTAGAGAAAATTTAAATGGATTACATTAAAGACAGATTGGAAGAAGATATTAACAAACGCAAACGAGTTAAAGCCTGTAAAATTGTAGAAATATCAGTTGTCTTCTAGCGAATAAAGTCATTTTGTATCCTTCACAGCAGTGGTCATTTTACAGAATTAAAAATGTGGCAAAGTCAGCGCATGGACACTCCTGAAATCTCAATTCCTGTTCCGCTCCCCTGTCGCACCCATCGCTCGATCCATGGCCGTAGTAAAGTTTACAACCGGTGGAACTCCGCGCTGACCCCAAAGTTGCTGCCAGGCTTAGCGAGTCGGTCTTACAGAATTTGGATGGTTTTCGTTTCAGCGGGTACTGGGTTTTGTGTTACATTTAACTCCGAAACGTCTGTTTCTCTCGTTTTACTGTGCGAATGAGCTGGGGTTAAAAGTGCAAAGAAACTCGTTCGTTGTCCTGGGCGTGAGGTTCGTCCACCGTAGGAATAAATTTTGGGGGTTAGCCGTAGTGGGAAAAGGTTAAAGGATTGAAGGAACGGCTTCCTACGACAAGTGAGAGCGTCATTTGTTACCATGGTTACGCAACTTCTGTTGTTAGGTTTCTGTCTCGTCACCGCGTTCACATCACTCATTCGCGCCTCTTTGTGTCCGGTGAGCGCGGTCCTCATTTGTTTTCAGCTGAGACGACATCTGTTGGACAGTTACAGAGGAGGAAATTAATACGAGAACCGATTATGGAGGTGGTAAAACTACGTTGTTTCGTCAGAGATTTATACAACATTAAACTTGTAAAATCTGAGGTTTCCACTGGTAGAACAGGTCCTTGCTGCCTCAGTCTTCAGGGTAACGAGTATCGCCACCTCCACTGTGAGATTGTTTAATTACATTTCATCTTTCCGGTGGATTACATCGACAAGTTTTCTTTCCATTTTATCTGGAAGTTAGTTGAGTTTTGAGTTATACTTCATGATAAAAAAGAACCAGTTAGAAAGTCAGTTACATCCAGAGTAAGGCTTGCCGTGGTGTGGAGAGAAACGGAAGTATTTGCTCAAAAGAACGCGTTGCTAAGGAACTACAAGATGTGTTAAGCCAGAAAATTCATCGCCCTCGCAGAGTGGACAGCCTGTGGCATTTGTGGGGATGTAGTGAGTAAGAATTACCCCAATGTTCTTCTGACAGTGGCGACTGCACTGCGGAGGAGTTGCGGGTATTTATTCCGAAAGAACGAAACTTTCTTCTGAAGAAGACGATGTCGTAATATTTGGGATCTGTAAATCTGTTGAGGAACTTTAAATTCTGCTTCTACTTTATTGGAGTGTGAAACGTTCTGTAAATTACGCGAAACTTCTGGTCACGTGCAGTTCCACTGTCGCAGATATAAAAAGAGTTTTAAAAGGTGATAATACTCGCAGTAAATGCAATTTAGCGCCCTCAGACCTTGGCCGCGTTGCTACTGCGGTTTATGGACTGTCCCAATATTTGTCAAGGTTCACGATTGGAAAACTTTCCTTGTAACAGTCGGCAGTCATTGGCTGGCTGTCGAATGGCGCCTGGTGTTGAGGTTAAATTGTTGTTCTGGGGAATCACAGCTTTAATTGCGGAGGCGGAGTTCAAATATACAGGCATTCAGATTATGACGCACGTCTCTGCTACAACAACAGCATGTTAGGACCTCTCGATTAGGCTTCATCTGTCTTCGTTGCAGATTACATTGCGAAATTATTTCTTGAGATCCGCCATTCTTACGGCCCTGAGAATGTCGATTGTGATGCTCTGGTCTTGTAGAGGGTTACCATTACTTCGGAGGAACGTTTCGCTTCCATCTTCGCGTCAGAAGAGAAGTATTTCCTCCCATTACCACATTGTCTCTGCACCAGTCGGGAATCGAATCCCAGTCTTCCGTCTCGTAGCCAGTGACCATTCCGGCTCAGAATTGATGTGTGTTCAATGTAAAGCTCAGCATCTAGTTCTAATTGTCGTGACAGAAACCGCTGTCTCCATGGTAACACACAGAGTGCCGGAAGTCCGCCTCTGATATGGAGTTCTTCTGGTGTTAGGATTTCGAATTTTGAAACCCAAGTTTCCGTATTCGTAACTCTGCAAGAGACGCTTAAATGACGCAGGTGAAAGGGTGAGACAGAGAACCCGTGCATGAAGACCGACCAATGTCAGCGTGTTCCCATCTAAGCTTCGTAGAACGACGCAATTTCTGAAATGTTCTCACAAAAACTGGCATCTTACGTAATTAAGAACGTGTCCTTGAACGAACGTGTTTAACTACGCGAATGCATTGTTTCTCCTAACATTCCTATCTGTAACCATAGTTACAGCGTGCTGCAGAGAGAGAGAGACAGTACAACATCGAATTAACAGCGATGCCGCGTAATGTAATTTAAATATAAACATTTGGGACACGGAAGGACTCGCTGACTGGCCGACTGTCGGCTGTAGACTCGAGAGTCAGTCTTTGTTCGACCTGCATCTCGGCTGCTGACGTAAGCAAGTTCGTTTCGTAACAACATTTTACGTTGAGGCTTCGGGTTTTCACGACGATAATCGGGATTTTCTTTTGGGTTCTGGCACCACGTGGGTGCCAGCATTTCGGAGAGTATACTGTCTCCATCTTGAGGGTTGACGTGACAATTCTGGGAATCAGAATGATTATATAGGGTGCCAGGAAGGAAAGTCTGAAGGAATGGACCCTTTTATATATATAGTGGTGGCGTACTCCTGTAATCCAGC